TGAGCCTGGGTGTGGTGGTGTGCGCCTGTAATCCCAGCTCTTGGAAGACTGTAAACAGGTGGATCACTACGAGTCCGATCTAGTACTGAGACCTTGAACACCTTGTAGACCCTTTCCTAAAATACAAAAAAAACCCTGCATTTTTCTGCCAGTGAAGTTGAACTGGTTTTGTGTCCAATAAAGCAGTGGAGAATCTCAGTGGACCCCCTGAAATTAAAATTATAATAATTATAGTGCAATGTAATTATAATTTTCAAAAGATGAAAACATGTATCTGGATAGATAATAGGAGCAGGGAGCTAGATCTTTTACAACTAACAGGAGACCAACAGATGGGGGTGACATAAATAAAATGAAGATGTGTTCTCTACATATACCAAGCTCCCATGATCAGTGTAATCATTATGTACTGTAAGCATGTACTAACAGAAATTGTTAAAACAAAATCATTTATCTCACAGATATATAAAATGAACACATATAAAAAATTTTATTTAACTCAGTTAAGTGGAAACTAGTAAGATGTTATAACTGACTCAAAGAATTCAAAGGACAGCTACAAACATAATCAGTAGTGCCAAAATAACTTTGTTAATAATATAAAACTGATCAACAACCACAGGAGAGTAATCAGTTACATCTACATCACATAAGTTTTATTTGCATTTCTCTGGATAGCATGCTCACTATCTTAGCTCAGACTGTGTAACAAAATACAGTGGCTTGAATGGCAGACATTTATTTCTCACAACTCAGATACATAGGAATTCTAAGCTCAAGATGGCAAGATCGAACTCAGGATCTTGGGCTTACCAGGCAGGTGCTTAAGCCACTGAGCTATCTCCCCGGCCCAGTACAATGGATTCTGATGAGCACCCTCTTTTAGACTGCAGACAGCTCACTTCTTGTACCTTCAGTGGCAGAAAGTGAGGTAGCTAATTGTCTTCTAAGGGTATGAATCCCATTCATGAGGCTTCATGACCTAACTACCTGGCAAAGGTTTTACCATCACAACATGTTAGGGTTTCAACATAGTGAATTTGGGAAAGGCAGGGCATATCCAGTCCATTATAATCACTAGAAGCATTTTATAGCTTAATTGCTATAACTCAAAGACACATCCCAGGAGGTTGTGTTGCACTAAACCTCCAGTGATATTTCTGTTCATTTCAAAGTCACAGTGTTTCTGACACTGGTATCTGTCCTTACCCAAGTGGAGGAAAAGACCTTGACTCTTGATCTGGTTTTTTTGTTTTGTTTTGTTTTCTTTTCTTTTTTTAATTTTTTTTCTTACCTGGCTATGCATTACATTATCAGACAAAGATTTTTTTTTCATTTTATATATTTGGAATGCAGCTTGGAGTCGTAGTGATCCTCTTGTCTCAGCCTCCCTAGTGCTTGGATTACAGGTCGCACCGCATTTGGTGCCAGATATCAAACCCTGGTCCCTGCACTTGCCAAAGCAGGTGCTTAGTCTGCTGAGCTTTCTCGCCAGCTCTCAGGCAAAGATTCTTGTTACTTCAAGAGTAAACAAAAATTTAAGAATACTGCTCCTCTGCCCTCATCACTAAGTGTAGGATTTCCCTCTGTCTCAAAGAAAATGAAGTTCTTTTTCATGTACAAAAACAACTAAAAGAAGGGGTTGGGGAGATGGCTCAGTGGAATAAGTGCTTCCCTGGCAAGCACAAGGGCCTGAGTTCAATCCCTGCTTAAGTCAAAAAAAAAAAAAAAAAAAGTGTAGAAGCAAAAACAACTAAAAGGGGCATTGTTTTGAAAATGGAATTTTTCAAGAGAAATAATTCATTCATTTAGTAAATATTTCCAATAAACATTTTCCTAACTGTCACAACCTGAAGGCCCTATAGGAATGGCCTCTAACTACTTCTGCAACCTTACCTTATGCCTCCCTTTGTCATTGTTACCTTTCTTGGTCTTTACAGTTCTAGACACAAGCTTTGCTACTTTAGAAGCCTTTGCATACACTTTGCTCTCTCTGGAATTCTCTTCCTTCTACATTTCATCTACTTGCATCCTTCTTTATCCTGCAGACTTCTAAAATGGCCTTTCCTTATACTACTCCTGACCCTATCAGTCTCTACTTTTTTTTTCATAGCATGTATCATAAGTGACAGTTATGGGCTATTTCTTCCAGTAAAATAGAACAAGACGCTTTGTATGTGTTTTTTACCATTAAATCCTTAGCACATAGAATTCTGGATACATGAAAGCACTCAAAAATGTTTGTTGAGCTAGGTATGGTGGTGCACATCTGCAAGCCCAGCCACCAGGATGGGATGGCTAAGGCAGGCAGATCACAAGAGCAAGGCAACGCTGGGAATTTAGGAAGACCTTATCTGAAAAATTAATTTTAAAAAAGAAAAAGGACTGTAGTGCATTGGTAGAATACTTGCTTAGCATGCTTAAGAGCCTTCATTCAATCTCCAGCACTGGTTTTTTGTTGGGTTTTTTTTTAATGAATGACTGAAAGGCACATGCTATTCCCTAGGGATTCATTTTATATATAAGATACATGAAGGCTAAGCTGATTGCTCATGTAGCACTCTGGGCTGCTGAGGCAGGAGGATTGTTAAGTCTGAGCCCAACCTAGGTAACTTAGTGAAAGCTCTGAAAAATGAAAAAGATCTGGAAATGTAACTCGGTCCTAAGGCCCTGGGTTGAAACCCAATTACCACTAAATGAAAATAAATTGCCAATTCCTAAGCCAGGTACAGGTGAGGGACAAGAGGTGCTATAAGAAATCAAGAATAATACAAACAGAAGAGTAGCTAAGAATCTAAGAAATCAGGAGAATTTTCATCCTCCTCAGAGTTTAGGACCTGCTACAGAAGAAGCACCTTGAAAAATATCTTAGACTTTCAGTTGAAGATATTCTCTCCTTGAAGAGCTGAGCTCTAAAAAGAAGTTCACCATAACTAACTGCTAAAAGGAATTAAATTCCTCTTAGAGAAATATGTCATCATCCAGTGCCTCTTCAGGTTTTATGATTATGACAAAACTAAAACCTAGGACAAAGAGAAAACTATACCACCAAGACACAATGCCTCCAAAAAGATAAGAAAAACTACTTTCTCAGATTACAACACTAATAAGCACCCCATAACATAATTATATTTGCTCTAAAAAGTAGAGGAAGAGGGAAAAGACAAAGTTGGGGGTGTGAGTCAGTGTGAAGCACCTACCTAGGGTGCCTAAGGCCCCAGGTTTGATAAGAGGTGTATTAGATATTAGGAGGAACATTCTGTTTGTCATTTTAAATGTATCTGTTCATCAGGAATCTGTAATGATTCTAATTTTGGTTTATTTATATTTTTCTTATTTTCTTTTAACAATTAGAATTTATTACATCTGATAATATATATGTTGAAATGTCAAAATAAAAGAAAATGAATTAATCAGTCTCATCCAGCCTTGGTAGCTCAGAGGAGGCTGAGAAGATGACCAAACAGAGAGAAGGAGAGAAGGTTAGAAAGAATGTAAGGCAGAAGAAAGAGTATTTTCAAAGAGTGGAGGCAAGAGAGTATGAGAAACTAAAACCAATATAGTTTCTTCCCAGAAGAGAGGGGAAGAAGAATATGGCTGGGTGGCAAAGAAGGCAGACTGAAGGGCTGAGTGATTTCAAAGAAAGCTGGAAAATATAGAAATGTCAGAATATTTTTAAAATGAGACTTTTTCCTAAACACCAGGAAGTTGGTAAAGTATTATAAAGTCACTAGGGGCCGGGGAGATGGCTCAGTAGGATAAGTGCTTGACTGGCAAACGCAAGGATCTGAGTTCAATCCCCGGTTCCGCCAAAAAATAAATAAATAAATAAAGTCACTGGCTTGATGACTTTATAATGATTTTTCTCAGCAATTTGTCTCAGAAGATAGCTTACTCCTATAGGAGAGGAAAGTGGGACTACTGACAAAGGGACACATTTCAATCAGGCAACATGCTGGATGAGGTTGTGGAGATAGAAGGAAGTGTATTTCAAAAATAAAGTACCTCATAGTTTTTGAAACATTCAAAACTTTGGAAAGTTAATAGCCTCACTCTTAGATTAATGAAGAAGAAATCTGGCAATAGACCCAGAAGTTTTATTTCTTAAAAGAAATCTTAAGGACTGAACTTTCCTTTCCAAAAATCAACCTTTGTCAGATCACTCTGGGTTAGTCATAACCTCAGGTTGGTGGCGTTTTTGTTAGCAAAACGTTTATTTTTAGAATTTCTTCCTTACTTTTTATTTTTCTAAGTTGACTTATTTAGACTTGATGATCTGTAAATATTTAACTCGATTAAGCAGAAGAGTGTAGAGACATACATATGGCTTCCCTGACTAGAGACATCTTTATTTTTATGTACTTGGTACAGGGTCTCACTATGCAGCTCGGACTCGTAGTGATCCTCCTGTTTTCAACCTCCCCAATGCTGGGACTACAAGTGTGCACCACTAAGCCAGACTCTGTGTCCTGCTCAGTGCACCTGGGGGGACAGGGACAGCACAGCATGCGGTACAAGGGCTTGAATTCCAGTCCCTGCACTTGCCTAAGCAGGCACTTAGTCCATGGAGCTATCTTGCCAGCTGAGTCAAGTTTTTTAAATACCCTATTAATAGTCTTTCTCAGATATAAAATTTTACCTAAAAAGATAGTCAATATCTCATCAAGTAAAGATATTATACATTAATGTGGTTATTTTGCTTATTACCTCGTTTCTCCTACTACAAAGTACTTTTCTACGAGGTCAGGAACATTGTCTCTTGTTGAAGACTATCACTCTCTTACCTAGATTGGTACTTAGCGTATACCAAGTAATGAGCAGGTATTTATTGAATGAGTAGATGAATGAATGAAGAATTACATTTGTGTTAAACAAATAAATCTCAATAAAATAAGGATGTTTCTTTTCAGTCTTATAAATTCATTTTATTTTCATTTAAGGTATTGCAAGTCTGATACTAAAATGTTTGAAAGTAAAATGATTATTTTTAATATTTGCAGGACTATCTCAAGCAGGTGCTGGACATTGATCTTCATGCTCAGATCCATTTTGGCAGGGTTTTTATGAAACCAGGGTATGAAAATCTTATCTCCTATATGGGTTGGTTGGGGTTGATTTAAGTTTTAAAGATTTCTTTTTTATATTTTCTATTATGGGTTAACTATTCTTTAAAAAGGAAATATTATCGTAGCAGAATCCTTTGCATAACTGCAGTTCCTATTTGAAATAAAAATTTGTCTTTCTTATGAATCAGTAAATTTGGGGTAAACAAAGAAAGGAACTTTACAGACTTTTCCTTTTTAGGTTTATGTCTAATTCCTTCCTCTTTTTTTCTCTTTATACTACTTATTTTTTAAAAAAACAATTTAATTTCAAAATTCTTAATTATACTTAAAAGTAGGGATATACGTTGCTTTGCATGCATCACTTAATGTTAGTGGTTATCAGCATTCTTCTGTAATTTTTTTTTATTAATTTCCCCAATCTTGTTTCCTTCAGGAGGAGAGCTGTGTTGTTTTAAATCAAATTCTAGAGATCATCTCATTTTTGGTGCTCATATCAAATAATAAAAACAATAGCATTCCCTTATTAAAAACAACAGTGTTATCTCACCTAACAAAAATACTTTAATTTCATCTAATAGCCTGTTCATGCTCAAATTTTTTCAAACATCAGGAAAAATTTTTTTTTTTGTATCAGGAATCAAACTCGGGACCTTCCTTGTACTTTCCTGGTGGGCAATGTGCCACTGAAAATCCCTAGCCCCAATAATACCTTTTTATAATTGTTTTATTTGAAATTAGGACTTTAGTAAGGTCCACTCCTTGGAATTAGTTAACTACCTATTATATCAAAACATTTAATCCTCCTTGCTTTTCTTTTTACTTTTTATTTATTGACTGATTGGTTGCTATGGCATTGAATTGTTGGAGAAACTGGATGACTTAGCCTGAGAAATGGATTTGCCTTTTTGTACCTATGGGTATGGTTAACATGTTCTCTGTCTCCAGAAGATTTTAGAGATTGGGAGCTAGATCTAAAGGTTTAATTGCAGGCCAGAGAGATAGCTCAGTAGATTAAGCACTTGCCTGGTAACCACAAGGGCCTGAGTTCAATCCCTGGTTCCACAAAAAAATAAATAAAAATAAATAAAGATTAATTAGATTTGGATTCTTTTTTTTCCTTCAAAGTGGAATTTAATATTGCTTCTTACTGTTTCCCAGGAGTAAAGAAAAATAAACACATACTAAGATTTTACATATTTCCTAAAAACTAATAACGCCTAACAAAGGACCATTAGAGGGAGATTCTGTATTAATTGTAACTGCTCAAAGAATAATAAACCCTGCTCAGACCCCTGTTAACTCAGTGTACCTTTGATTTTTATTCAGAGAACTCAGTGTATGGTTGAGCTTTTCAGGCTTACCTCCACGATGTCATGGGCAATAGTAATACTTCAGTACTTTCACGCTCTGATGATGTCTCTTGGGAATTCTAAGGGCATGCAGTATTGGCCTCCCAGTTGTTATAAGGGAACTATGGTTTAATGGCTGGGTGTGGTGGTGCATTCCCATAATCCCAGCCCTCCAAACAGCTGAAGCAAGACTACATACTCAGGCCCAGCCTGAGCAATTCAGCAGTTTAGCAAGACCTTTTATCAAATTAAAAGAAAAGAAGAAAGAAAAAAAAAAAGAGAAAGGAAAGGAGAAAGAAAGAGAAGAAAGGGCTAGGGATATAGTATACAGAATAAAATAGATGAACTATGGAGACCATCGCATATTTCTGCCTTAACAAGCCAACTCTCCTAATATCCCTGATCTGTTGTATGCTTCAGCTATATTACACAACGTAGGATTTATTTCCATGATCTGACCACTTTTACTAGAGTTAAGGTTATACCTAAAGCTTTCTTCACAGTTGATATCTGACCACTTTTACTAGAGTTAAGGTTATACCTAAAGCTTTCTTCACAGTTGATATAATTTGCACCGTTATTCTTGCCAGTATATTTTTGTAGCTGCCTATTGAGTATGCCTCAATATGATCATACTAAAAAAGACCTTTTCCTATTGAAACTGTGGTATTTGGGTCATGCTTGTTAAGAACTGTTGAGCTAAGCTTTTTTTTCTTTTCTATCCCTTTAGATACACTAATTTGATTAGAATACAGAGGACATTACATGGAAAGCATGTAATGAATGAACTTCTCACTAATCTCAAATTTGATTTTTCCCTTTGTGGTGGAAGGATGCTAACATAACTTTCCCTCACTGCTAGAGAATTATTTGTCTGTTATTCAAAATACAGCACCCCTAACAATAACTTTTTGGACTCTTTTTTTTTTTCAGTTTAGTATATACCACTTATTTCACTTTTATGAGTTCCTCAGTTCCTAATGTTTGTTCTCCCCAAAAGTCGTAACACTTTGGGACCTCAGTCCATGTATAATTCTGTTACATTCTGATCTCAAGAGAATTAAGCAGTAAGTGTTGGATTCCAAAGTGGCCTTGCAGAACTTAAACAAAAGCTTCACAGTCTACACTTGTGACAGCAATACATGATAGCAAAATGTTTTGTTGTAAGTAGAATCTTTGTAAAGTAACCACCTTTTAAGAAATCACCTTCCCTATATCTGCGAGATACAAAGGATGACTTAAAGATACCTTGTAATTTAAATCGGCTTTAAATGCAGAAAAGAGAAAGTATTTTGTATCTGTGTGCTACCTTGCTATAATAAAGTGGTTTAGAAATCTACATGGGCTTCTTTTAATTGGCAGAATTTTGTGCTTATCTAAAGTTAAGAAAGTACATTCTTTTCATTCTTCCTACTAGTAGGGAAACACACACACACACACACACACACACACACACACACACACAAAGTTCAAATACAGGTTAGCTTTGCTCTTCCTACATGCATTACAAATATAATTTCCTCTTTCATTTTGGAGACAGAGATACTCAGCAAAGCATTTGGAGTATTAACCAGACCTATCAAAGACTTTCTTATGGGTCATGTATAGTACACATACTTGCTATCAAGAGTGAATCTTGGAAATTATTGTATCATACAGTAATAACTGCCAAATTACCCACTTATAAATCAACATGACAGCCTAATCTTATGTTTATAAAACTCAGCAAAAATATCAGGAAGTAAGCAAAAAAAAAAAGAAGCCTAGGAAGAGATAAGTAGAGGTCGCCAAACCTGTACACTCACCCCTCCAAGAGCACCCATCCAAGCTGCACCCAGTGTGAGCCATTAAGTTTGAATCACCTTGGTTCAGAGCTTTGTTTCCCCACTTAGTAGCTAAATAATTTTTGCTGAAATTGTTTTGTCTTTCTGAGTTTGAGTTTCCTTATCTATAAAATGGATGATGATTATCATTTTTAGAGTTTGTTAATGAGATTTTGAAATGAAATAATGGATATAATACAGATATGTTACTTCTAAAATACTTTTGTTATTAATATTTATCATTCTTTTTATGAGCATAATATATTTATTGATGGAAAGAAAGCTCCTGTCCAAGAGAGGGACAGAATGGGGGTCCCCCAGGGGGTGGTCCCCCAATATTATCATTTTAATGATATGACTATTACTACCTATCATTGATTGCCATACGAAAAGCCAGCTTTTTTGATTGAACTGGTGGCAAGCTGGCATTAAGGGAAACCATAGGGAAAAAAACTAAGGGGAAGAAAACAGAAATGAGAACCATAGAAACACAGCAGTATAATGTTTTATAGATGAAAACAGTCTCACATCATGTATTATGGCAGAGTACATGACGGATGGCTATAAGTCATCAAAAATAGCACAATTATTGCAAAAGTTAATGAGTGACTCATTTTTTAAAAATTAATCTGAAAAAATGGTAAAAAATAATTTGGATAGGGGCCGGGGAGATGGTTCAGTGGAATAAGAACTTGCCTGGCAAGTGCAAGGGCCTGAGTTCAATCCCCAGTTCCACCAAAATAATAATAATAATAATTATTATT